GAGACACGCTTTTGTGAAACCAGAGAGGTCAGATACAAAGAGAGCAAAGGGAATATTTATCATATATAATGATTAGAGAAAGACGACAAGCCAGGACTGGCATTTTTATTCTGGATTCTTTTAAATTTAAATTTAAATTCTTTTAAAACTATTATAAAGTGACCAAGACTAGGGACTAGGGCTTCATGTGGATGGGAATAAGGAAAGTAAATACTAGAAAGGGCACAATAGGGAAGCAGTTTCCTTGACTATTCTTAACTTCTGGGAGCAAGAAATTTTGTGAAGGATGAAAAGATTTAGGTGGCCTGGGATTTTACAGGTCCTTGTAAGTGATAGCATGCAGATGGAAAACCATTCATTCATATATATATTCATATATATGAATCATTTTTCTGTATACCTGAAACTAATACAACATTGTAAATCAAATCAACTATACTTCAAAAAAAAAAAAAAAGAAAAGAAACTTCATTGAACTGAAACAAAAAGAAAGAAAAGAAAACCGAGCTCAATGTCATCTGCGAAGGGGCAGATACTCAAACGGCACATTATTCTAACCACAGGACCCCTCAGCCTGTGTCATCTCACCACCTCCCAGACCCCTTCCCCCACAGCTACCCAGATTCAAACCTAAATAATTGGAAAGCAACGCTCTGTGAGATTTCCAAAGTTCCCTATCAGTTGTGTGCAAGCACCTTGCTTTCTCTTCTCCCCTACACAGTTCCCCTCTTGCACCTTCGTCTCCTTCCTCCCTTTCCTTTCCCCTCCCTCTTTCCTCAGCCTCCCTGGTCCCTTACTCTCCTCTCCTCTTATTCATTCCAACCCTGGAGCAACCAGGCTGTCTCCTATACTCCTGAGGTGATTCTTAATGAAATAAATTTCAGGACCCCTACTGACTGGATCCATGACAAGTGAATCATTTATAGGAGCAGCCGGGCCCTGCCCAGCACAGGACCGTCTTTCATCCTTTCTCTGTGTGCTTTTTCCACTCCTGCCCCACCTTAGCCCTCTCACCTCTAACTCACTGGAGGATACCAGCTGTGAATTCCTCGGGCTTCTTTCTTCTTTCTTTCTCCTATATTCTTATTGGAGAATAGAAGAGTCTCCTCACTTTCTTAAGGTATATCTCAGAAGTTATCACACTTTAATTATTATTCTTGGCGGGATCTCTCAAAGGATTCCCTCGTCTCCCAAAGCAGAGTCTCATCCTCTCTCACCTGCAAAATCCTGAATTGGCCTACCCATTAGCTCTCCCTTCTCTCTGCCACCCTTTACATTTTTTTTTTTTTTTGCGCTACGCGGGCCTCTCACAGTTGTGGCCTCTCCCGTTGCGGAGCACAGGCTCCGGATGCGCAGGCCCAGCGGCCATGGCTCACGGGCCCAGCCGCTCCGCGGCACGTGGGATCTTCCCGGACCGGGGCACGAACCCGCGTCCCCTGTATCGGCAGGCGGACTCTCAACCACTGCGCCACCAGGGAAGCCCCACCCTTTACATTTTATGTTTATCAGAAGTTTTTTTCTTTTTATGCCCTCGATTCAAATGTTTTCAATAATCTTTCCATCCTCAATGATTGTTGGATTTTCTGTGACTTAAGAAAAAGGGAAAGAAGAACCTTTGTAAAGGTGGTTATTAGAAACTTTGTAACAAGAAGGGCAGCCTTTTTGTTTATGAGTCTGAAACTGAACAGGTTTGACTTTCCTAGAATTGTCTGTCACTTCTCAAATTATATATAAATTGTTGGCTATTTTTTTAAAAGCCTAAGGAGAGCAGAACATTTGGGAAGCTTCTGAAATACTCTATCAGTACCTTCAAGACCTGGCTCAAAATTTTCTCTCTTGATAGAAGGCTTTGGGAATAACACTTTCTATACTCAATCTTTTTTAGTAGTGGCCACTAACAGTTAATTTTCCTATCAGTGCCCTGTACTAGTGTGTATTTTATCATAGAATAGTGGTTAAATGTGTGGCCTTTAGGGATAGATGGCTTCAGTTTAAATCCCAGTTTCTACTGTATGACTCTGAATGAGTTACTCAACCTCTCTGTGCCTTCGTTTCACCACTTATAAGATAGGGATATTGGGGCTTCCCTGGTGGCGCAGTGGTTGAGAGTCCGCCTGCCGATGCAGGGGACGCGGGTTCATGTCCCGGTCCGGGAGGATCCCACGTGCCGCAGAGCGGCTGGGCCCGTGAGCCATGGCCGCTGGGCCTGCGCGTCCGGAGCCTGTGCTCTGCAACGGGAGAGGCCACAACAGTGAGAGGCCCGCGTAGCGCAAAAAATAAAAAAATAAAAAAATAGGGATATGACTGTCAATTACCATAGGATATTTTAAGGAGTAAAGGACTCAGCACTGTGCATAGTGCTGAGTATATAGGAAAGACTTATTATTATTGCTATTGTTATATGTTATTATCATGGTTAACCCTGTAAGTTCTTTGCATTTCCAACTAAATTGTTAATCTCTTCAAGTCAGACATTTACATCATTAATGAAATAAAAAACAATACAAAATGTTTGAGGTAAGTCACTTAAAGATATGAAACATTCTTTTCATAACTTTAAGGCATTTATATTTGGTATTTAAGCATCAATAAATACTTACATGTTATTGGGTTTTAGATGGTATTTTATTTTTTCCTTTATTAAATCTAGTCCAATGTATTACAAATAGAAAGTTAACACAGTCAACAAACAATAACTGAATACATAAATTATTTCTCAAAAGCACAATTTTGATTTAAAATATAACTTAAACATATTTCAAATCTAAAATATGTGGCATGTAAAAGCAGTGTTTACAAAATCAACCTTTTTTATCTCATGTTAAAAAGTCTGTGGTGGGGCTTCCCTGGTGGCGCAGTGGTTGAGAGTCCGCCTGCCGATGCAGGGGACATGGGTTCGTGTCCCGGTCGGCGAAGATCCCACATGCCGCGGAGCGGCTGGGCCCGTGAGCCATGGCCGCTGGGCCTGCGCATCCGGAGCCTGTGCTCCGCAACGGAGGAGCGCACACAAAGAGAGGCCCGCGCAACCAAAAAAAAAAAAAAAAAAAAAAAATCTGTGGTCCACTTAGGACAACTATCTTCTCCAAATGCCTAATAAAGTGTGAAGTTTACTGAAAGTACTTAATGGTATTTAGACTAAGTGTACTTTTCCAAACACTCACATTATGGGTTAATGCATTTGCAACAGACTTCTGAATGAGGTTACATATTGCTTATGTTGCAAATGAAAAATGCGGAAGAGTGAGGAGTTAGGACCTATTGAGTACCAATGGAAGTCAATGTTTTCTTCCACTTCCCTCTCTCTCAATAGAAAATAATCCCAGTCAGTACCATCCTAATCAAAGAATATGAAAATGTTTCATGTTAAAACTTGGAATTATAGAATCATATATGGATGGGAAAAAAAATCAAATCCAACTCCCTTATTTTATAGTTGAGAAAACTGAGGCCTGTAGCATTCATTTCAATTGAGACTTGTTTTCAAAACAACATTCATGCCCTTGAGTTATTTACTCTAGTTTTATCATTTATTTTCATGCTCTTTTATTGACCACAACTCAAAATACCAGTGTGCTCACAATGCCATGTGTTTGGATATGGTCCTTTCTACATGTGTCCCTGGAAAGGACTGTCTGGTCCTTGTGGGGAATTTTCCTTTGTGGTATCAAAGCCAGGAGCTCCAGGTTTTCCTCTGAGCATTTTTTAAGAGAACACTATCATGTAACATCTGGGGCCAGAAAGAAATCTTTATGGTATATATTTTACAGATATTTTCTTCTGGGATTTTTTTCTTCAAAGAGAAAAGCCTTGTGAATATTTCACATAAAGCATATGTTAATTAATAAATTGTCAAGATTGCTAGATTCATCCCTGTGTGGGCCCATTTAAATATGTCCCTCAATAGCTAATTCATTTTCCAATCAAACTTGCTCAGCTACAATGTTGAAGTGCATTGCTCTAAACTTTGATACATTCAAGCCATGAGAACGAGCTCTAAAATTTGATACATTCAAGCCATGAAAACGAGTTTTTGAATAAATGTGGTATTCAAGGAAGTCTCAACCAGTATTGTTAGGGTACTTACCAGAGATATTTGTGACTAATCACTTTCTTTTTTTTTTTTTTTTTTTTTTCGGTATGCGGGCGTCTCACTGTTGTGGCCTCTCCCGTTGCGGAGCACAGGCTCCGGACGCGCAGGCTCAGCGGCCATGGCTCACGGGCCCAGCCGCTCCGCGGCATGTGGGATCTTCCCAGACCGGGACACGAACCCGTGTCCGCTGCATCGGCAGGCGGACTCTCAACCACTGCGCCACCAGAGAAGCCCTGTGACTAATCACTTTAACCTAAAGAAATAGGATTGGTAATAAAAACCCCAAACCACACCTTAATCACTTTGGAGTTGAAATTGTCTTTACATCTATCTATATAAATTTATATTTAATATTCGTTATTTCCTGAACAATATGTTTTTATTTATTTTTTTATTGCAGACTTTGATCTTTAATTAAATGTACTGGACAGGAGGATTTGGGGACCCTGCGTTGTCTGTAAGTGGTAGGTAACAAATTGTGCTGAAGCAACGTCAAGTATCAACTACTAATACTTTTACAAAGCCCTTTTAGAAATTTTCACGTTGATGTTACCAATTGACGTCGGTTTATTAGCATTTGGTTAATTAAGAGAAACCATATTGAAATAAAAGGGGAAAGGCATACTAGAAGGACAGAGAGAGATTCTCCCCATTTCCCTCCCCACCCTCCCTCCTTTGAAAGCTTTCTGGGAGCAGCAGGTTCCTGCAAGTGCCAGGAATCCGGTCTCTGGTGAAGCGCGGAGCACTGCAACGCCAGGGCTTTCCCAGTTGGGGACTACAGGGGGACTACAGGCTGCTTGGAACGTGCAAACACCTGGCGTGGTTCTTGAGGGCCCTGGAGACTTGAGTCTCATTCCGGTCCGCTCCAGGGTTGTAGGCAGAAGGCTCTGAGCGGTCAGAGGGGTTTCCTGTGTGTCAGCAACATCACTCTGCCGAGATAGCTGGCGGAAGAGCCAAGGAGCGCTCCCGGACCAATCGCTCTCCAGCAGCCAGCCCTACCCCCTGACCCTGACCGAGCGCGCCCTGACCGCCGACTCTGGTGAAGACCGGCTCTCCCAGAAGACGCCTCCGGCCCCGGGCGAACTTCGCGCAGGCACGCCCCTCGCCTCCCGGAGGAGCGCGGACTCGCCCGGGTGCGCAAACTCCGCCCATCCTCGCGGGGAGCCCGGCTCGCCCTCCCGCCGCCTGCACTCAAGCAGGTCTCTAGAAGAGCCTGCGAGCTAACACAGACGGCGAGCCGGACGCGATCCAGAAGCACACGAGTCTGCGACCACGCGCGCTCCGATGGCCCCCAGAGGCTGAGAGCCGGGGGCGCGGAGGCAGCGGCGCGGGTCCTAGAGCCGAGCTGCTGGCTTGCAAGGTAGGGCGCAGGAAGATGCCCAAACGAAGTTGATCTTTGGGGGAAGGAGGTTGGGGCGCGCCCTCCCCATCTCAGCGAGTTTGGCTCGACCTCACTGAGCCCCCGGCGCGCTCTCCGGCGCGAACCCGCGGTCCCTCGGGAAAGCGCAGTCGGAAAGTTGTCGGCGGCGGTGTCCGTAGCGCCCTGTTGTGTAACCTCGGCGCTGCCAGCCTCACCGGGAAGTTGCTGGTCCTCCGGCCAGCCCGGTTCGGTCGCGGCCCGGGGCAGATTTCATGGCCCGCGGCGAACGCGGGGCCGGAGCCGGCGTGGGCGAGCCCCTGCTTGACCCCTCCCGCAGAGTTCCCCGGCGCCCCCTCCCGTCTGCTCGCCCGCCTTTCCGATGCTCGCTGCGCCCCTCGCCGCCGCCCTCTTGCCGCCGCTTGCCCCTTGGAGCCGCCGCCTAAGTCGGGGAGGAGAGAATGACCGAGGTGCTGTGGCCGGCGGTCCCCAATGGGACGGACGCTGCCTTCCTGGCCGGCCCGGGCTCGCCCTGGGGGAACAGCACAGTGGCCTCCACCGCCGCCGTCGCCTCTCCGTTCAAATGCGCGCTGACCAAGACAGGCTTCCAGTTCTACTACCTGCCAGCTGTCTACATCTTGGTGTTCATTGTCGGCTTCCTGGGCAACAGCGTGGCCATCTGGATGTTCGTCTTCCACATGAAGCCGTGGAGCGGCATCTCCGTGTACATGTTCAACTTGGCCTTGGCGGACTTCTTGTACGTGCTGACTCTGCCGGCGCTCGTCTTCTACTACTTCAATAAGACCGACTGGATCTTCGGGGATGCCATGTGCAAGCTGCAGAGGTTCATCTTCCACGTGAATCTCTATGGCAGCATCTTGTTCCTGACCTGCATCAGCGCGCACCGGTACAGCGGTGTGGTGTACCCGCTCAAGTCCCTGGGCAGGCTGAAGAAGAAGAACGCAGTCTATATCAGCGTGCTGGTGTGGCTCATCGTGGTGGTGGGGATCTCCCCCATCCTCTTCTATTCCGGCACCGGGATCCGGAAAAACAAAACTATCACCTGCTATGACACCACCTCAGACGAGTACCTGCGAAGTTATTTCATCTACAGCATGTGCACGACTGTGGCCATGTTCTGTGTCCCTTTGGTGCTGATTTTGGGCTGTTACGGATTAATTGTGAGAGCTTTGATTTACAAAGACCTGGACAATTCGCCTCTGAGGAGGAAATCCATTTACCTGGTGATTATTGTACTGACTGTTTTTGCTGTGTCTTACATCCCTTTCCACGTGATGAAAACAATGAATTTGAGGGCCCGGCTGGATTTTCAGACCCCAGAAATGTGTGCTTTCAATGACAGGGTTTATGCCACTTATCAGGTGACAAGAGGTCTAGCAAGTCTCAACAGTTGTGTGGACCCCATTCTCTATTTCTTGGCAGGAGATACTTTCAGAAGGAGACTCTCCCGAGCCACCAGGAAAGCTTCCAGAAGAAGTGAGGCAAATTTGCAGTCCAAGAGTGAAGACATGACTCTCAATATTTTATCCGAGTTCAAGCAGAACGGAGATACAAGCTTGTGAAGACGCAAGAATCCCCAAACACCCACTTTTGTAACATGGTAGGATGCTTAATAGAGCCAAGTGCTTTTTCCCCCTTTAAGTTTCTAGTAAGATTAGAGAAAATGCAAACCAAGAAAGCAGTGAGTTTAAAAAAAAGAAATAGAAGTGGAAATGCCTACACCCACACTTAGCTTGTTTGGGTTTGCTTTCAAGGACTTCCTTCTTTCTCACCAGAAGTATGTAACATAAAATAATACTATCCTTAAATATTTACTTTCTCTTCTGCCTTTAAAATTTGCAAGCTCTTCTGTTTAAAGTTTACGTGAGTACTGGAGCTATTTGGATATTAATAACTTCTCCAAGAAAACTGACCACCTGAAACTTGAGTTTGTGATTCATCTAGTCTTTATTGTTTTTAATAATCTGAGGTGGGAACAAATTGAAACTTCACATCCTCAAATTACTGTAGTACAGCAAAATACTAAACTCGGTTCACTCAGTAGCAGATGAACAGATTGCAGCTGGGTGTTTCTTGGTCCTGTAAGCATAGGTGATGGCCGGCTGAATTACTTTGGAGAATTAAATAGAAAAATCAAGTCAATGAATTTACAAGTCTCAAAAGTGATTATCTCCCAGTTATTTCTAGAAAACTGCTCACTCTGCGTTGGGTGCTAAATGTTTGGTGGTGGAATCCTGTATATATTATCTTACAGGTAAAATGCCTTCAAAATAATCAAAGTGCATGTACTTTCCTTTGTAAACACCACAAACTCTGTTAGACTTCCTGTGACAAAGAGCATTTACTTGCACCACTGCTGTGCAGTGCCCTAGGAGTGTGTTTGTGTTCCAGTACAAATGCTCACTTCCATCTGTAAAAACAGTTTTCAAAATCACAGATAAATTACAGACCAAGGTTGAATAACTGTTAGCGAGTTGAGGGATGTTGGGCAGGCGGGAGAGTGGCTGACAGTCATCCATAATGCATAGCCGGCAAACATATTCTCGAATGTATGAGGCAACTGGGAGTGGGGAGAAGACATTTTTAGAATAAGGACTTTAGTTTAAATTAATTATGGTGTAAAGGCCCTTTTTTTGTTTTGTTTTGTTTTTGCTCCTTCCAAATGCTGGAAAACATTAAATGCAATATAAAAAGAAGAAGGAAGAATGTGTATGGGTTGTGTTGGTAGAATGAAATGCTGTAATGCTTCACTGGATCTTACATCCTCATATTTGAAGGAAAAAACTCCAAACATATGGGAAAGGGAAATATGAGGAATTAAATTTAAGTACTTGAAGTACCACAGCACTAAAAAGTAAGGTATAGAAACTACTAATCAGACTAGCAATAGTTTAACCAGACAGTGTTTTCTTTTATATTTTCCCTCTGCCGGGCAGTAATGACAAATCTGTAAAATACTTCAAGAACTTTAATAACGATTTTCAGTGGATATTGAATTGCGGCATTTCTAGCCTTTGAAATGGTCAAATTCGATACAATGCCGAATAATGAGGTGAGGTGACGATTTCCAACACCAAATAAATAAATCCAGTGTCAAAGGAATTTTTAATGGTGAAGGTACCCCCAACAAAGCCAATATCAGAGTCTGCGGCTGATGGTGGGGTAACTTGTTTGAAAGCACTTTATATGTAGAACAGTTTGGGGCTGTGCTTCAAGGTGAGAACCCTAGCGCCCTGTGGGACCTGGTGGCAGGGAAGTCAGAGCTGGGCTTCAGTTCTTGCAGGACCTCAGTGGACTGCAGATTTGTGAGCCCTAAAGTTTCTTCCTAGACTTGCTCCGGCCACTAAGATCAATGAAGAAAAGCTGTGTTTAGCCATCCTAAAGAGTGCTGCTTTTTCACATGTTCAGTCTTAAAGCACAGAATTGTAGAAACCAAATCAAGAAGAAACCTTCTAGATGTCCTACCTACACCTCCCCATTTTGAGAAAAAAGAAGGGTTAGCTAGGTTCTCATTTGGTTAGGGCCCTGCAGTGTTGTCTGTTGTGGAATCCTAAAAGAAAAAGACTAAGATATGTCATGAGTGTGTTACCCCTGTCAAATATCATGTTCAGTGAGGCACAATTAATATCACTAAATTATCCAAAATGGAAATGTCAAAGTCCGTATCATCCTTAAACTCGAAGGCTAATGGTACACATTTCTATAATATTCCCTAACCATTTACTTTAGTGTTCTCCCTTTTAGGTCTGATGCCCAGCCTGGTTTACAGTATGTGTTAAGTACGTTGTTTCAGCTTCCAGAGAACTTTCTTTTGGTCCAGTGTGGAGGTGAACAGTGACTAGAAATGCCCTTTTACTTCTTGGCATGCTTTTTCCAGAGTGTTTCTTCTTTAGCTTCATACATCACGTGGTAGACAATGATGACATGCAGATGCCTGCCTAATAGTGACAAGAATGATCTCTCCAACCCCTTCCAGGCACAAATTGGTCTCTGGGACGAGTCTGCTAATGGTGAGCTATTGGCTGAAGATCTGATTCATGATATATGATAAGAGTAGGTATTTTAAGAGTAAAGGCAGAAATCTACTGGCATTTTGATAAAAGAGTCAAAATTACAGAACTTATCAGTTAACTAAATTTCACACTACAAAACTGTTTGAATGCCAAGCTCAAGGCGTTTTATGGCTCATCAGTTGGCATCTTTGACTCTTTGAACATCAATGTTTGCACCTGTTTGCAAACAATGTTTGCACTTGTTTGCATCAGTGTTTGCACTGAAATGCTAAAAAACACAGACCAAGAAGAGATACAGCATGAGAGTAGGATTTGGAGTTAAAATGGTGACACTGCCACTTGGCCAGCTGTGGAACTCTTGACCCTGGCAAGCCCACTCTCCGTGGATTAAAAGGGTTAGATGACATCCATCTGTTGGGGCCTTAGGGGATATGGTAAAGCCAGAGGTGCATGAAGTCTGCTACTGTATTTTCCAGGACTGTTCAATTCCAGTCCTTGACTGAAAATTCATACAAAGTTCACCGACTGTGATATGGATATGACCTGTAGGTTTTCTCAGTCTCCTCAGGGCAGTGCACTACACTGCCTTTGGATACAAGAGATGTCAGTGCTTATAGCACTGTAGCAGCTTGTAGCAGCTGGAATTGGACTAGTGACAGTAAAGATTTGTAATTAATTAGAGATATAGTGAAGCTTTAACTTTGTTGGTCAAATTGTAACTATCATAATAGTATTTATTGATGAAGCTCACAGCCCTCCCATTGTACAGATTGAAGAACTTTCTTGAAAGTTCCAACATACTGAGGTGAATTATATTTATTACAATGTATAATATTAATATGTCACACTGGTGTATTTTACATAATATATGATGCATAAAAAATGAGAGTTACTGTATATTATGATGCTTTCCAAATATCAGTATCTTGAAATGTTAAAGTCTTCAGATTTCTTTTATCTAAAATATGAAAATCTGTTTTGTGATACAAGTGGTTCATTTTCTCTACAAATGCTTTTGCACGTTTATCTTTTTATTTAGGGTTCTTTCTACATAGACACAGTTTGGTGTCAATCGATAGTAAATACAAAATATCTTAGCCAGACTGGGTCTGTACTGTCTACATTTTATATACTATTGTAGAAAAGTTTATATTGTCTTTTTAATACATTTGGAATTGTGTCCCCAAATACAGTCAGAGCTTCCCATTTCCAAATGCAAAAGCCTTGTCCTAAATTCAAAGGAGATCTCTTACGTTTTAGAAGTATGGTGAGATGGGCATTACAGATACAACATTAGAGTTTGAGGAGATACTTTAGGGAGATGGGGAGAGAAAGAGGCAGCTGATATAATCAGTTACTGTGCTCAATTCCGCTTCAATTTTTATTTTGTGTTTCAAGGTGAAATAGTATAATCTTAATTTCTGTGAGATGGAGTTTCTAAGTAACACACTACCAGCAAGTTCAACACTGCTAGTAATTTTATTGTTTTCTTTGTTCATTTGATAATTTTAATTCCAATTTTTACAGTAATAACTGTATATTATTTAGCTGCTGAATCCTGTTTCAGTTTTTTAGTTCTGTTGTACATTGTATTATACACATCATTACAAATTAATATGAAGGGGAATATATGTTACATATCAAAAATTGTGAATTTGAATTCTAGTATGTTTTAGTGCTTTTGCCAAAATGTTTATTTTTATAATATCTGTAATTTTAATATAGATAATTGAACTAGATTTCTTTGTGATTAATAGTGCCATTGAATGAGCAGTATGGAAACAGTGTTACTTGACATTTTGAGCTTTCTCAGGTTTATCGAAATCAATGGTAGCTTAACAGATTCCAGACTAATTGTGCATAATTGTGTTTTAAAAGGAATGTATATTTCCTATAAGTTTGCATGCAGGAGTGTACAGCTTGGAATGTGTGTGTTTGTGTGTGTGTGTGTCCATGGCATGGCAGCCAACTTCGTATCTGCTGTTGGTAATAACAGCAGAGCTTTGATATAATCATGGTCATTAGAATTGTACCTACCATAGACAGTTAAAACTGAAAAAGTCTCAATAAAACTATGAAATGTGGTCTGATGGCTTCTATGTTATTATAGTACTAATACTTACAAGTTTCCCCAAATTTTGACATGTACCATTATACCGGCTGGCAAATATTGGCAATACTACTTACTAGTATCCTACTAATACTAGGATATATTGAATCAGCGCAGGCATCTCTTAACATGTAGCCTGGACTGTAAGAAGTGAAGTGTTAAAGAAAGAATCCTGGTGCAAGGTAACTGATAAGATCATCATTATTTGATATTTAAATATTAATAGGAACTTGATTTAATTCTTTGAGGAAAATATGGAACACAATCTTAATACATATTTCTCATACTAGTATTCTGTGTTTAAAATGTTAGCTGTAATCTAATATAATGTAATGCCTCCTCTAATTTTTTAATCCATGGAGGTAGTGATTCTAATAATCTTTTGTGGTTTCTGTTTATCTATTAGCCTACATTGCCTACTTCTCTCAAGTTTATATATTGATAGACACACATGCACACATATATATATTGCTATGCAGTGAAAAGCTGTACCTGGAATGGACACATGCTTAAAGCATTACTTTTTTTCCTTAGTGGGGAAGGTAAGTGCACTATGGTCCTGCACTGGATTTTTTGGTTGTCTGCTGAGACAGGTGCCCTATCACAGAATCCTGTGGGTAGAAAAATGCAAATCTCTTGCAGCCCCTAAGATACTGTCACTCAGTTTTAACTCCTTAATCGACTATACTATCCAGACTTCACCACTCAGGAGTCCTCACTTACTAACATCAGCTTTGGGAGAGTTTTGTGGCTATGTATGTGTGTGTGTAAGTTTGTTTAGTGCATACACAGAAATTATACAGATAATTATCTTTCTGACTTAAGAAGAATTTACCATAACGCTTTGGGCACCCTGTGATTTTCAAAATCACTTTG